TGCAGCGGCGTCAGCCCGTCCTGCAAGAGCCAGGCCAGGCCTCAGTTCCCGTCCTTGTAAAGCGAGCTGCACCGCGGAGAGCACGGTGCCTGGACTCGGTCCTGGCGGCTCCGCGGGTGGGTAAGAGGTCAGCGAACCGCCTTAGCTTAGCCAGACGCAGGCCTCCTGTTTCTAGGGAAGGAGGCCGTGCAGAGACAGCCTCCTACTCCCCTCTCCTGCCTGTTTGCTGACAGTGAACTGCACTCACTTAACAAGGCGGGCACAGACAGAGAAAGGGCACTCCCTCTCCCTGACGACCAAGTCGGGGCACGGAGAGCGGCTGTCTTCTCCAAAAGCACAGAGAGCGCCTGCCAGGGCGGCTCAGCACCACCCGGAGGGAAATGACTGAGCACCCGCAGCCTTAGACGCAAAAGCCATGCGACCTGCACGATGCCCGAAGAGCCACTCTCCCGGCTCCATCTCCCACCCAAACGAGATGAGTGGGTCCGACCGCGACCTTCGTTCCCAGAAAACTCCTGAGCAGGGACTGGGGGCGCCTCCTCGGGGTGGGGCTCTGCTTTCTGGGCACTTAGGAGAAACAGGAATTCCATGTTGCCACGGGAACCCGTAAACATTGTCTGAGGCTTAAATAAAAGCCCAGAAAACCCGCGCTGTCGCGTGTCCAGGGCCCGGCACGTTGGGGTGAACGCTGGACAACACAGAACCTCGCGGTGGCAGGAGGCAAAAGGCAGGCACTCACCCTGGTTTTGGCGTCGATCTGACCTCCGCGGTCCAGCAGGAGCTTCACCATGTTTGTGTTTCCCCGTTTGGAGGCCACGTGCAGAGGGGTGATCCCGTTCTACAGGGAGAGAGGTGGAGCACGCGGTGTGGGCGCGGGAGTATGTGAATGTGGGAGCGGGGAGCACGTGGGTGTGGGCACGGGGAGAACGTGGGTGTGGGTGTGGGGAACACGTAGGTGTGGGTGCGGGGAACACGTGGGTGTGGGCACGGGGACCACGTGGGTTTGGGCACGGGGAGCACGTGGGTTTGGGCACGGGGAGCATGCGGTGTGGGTGCGGGGAGAACGTGGGTGTGGGTGTGGGCACGGGGACCACGTGGGTGTGGGCACGGGAGCACCTGTCACAGGGCGTGGGGAGGCGGCCTGAGGAGAACCTGACCCAAAGCTGCTACATCTCAGCAGCTTCCATTTTTAAGGAACAAAAGCACCCAAACCACAGAACACCACAGCAAGAGAATGAAATGGAATAGGGCTGCGTCACTGAGTCGCCAGCCACACATCTGCACAGAAGGGCCCCGGACTGTCTATGAAACAGAAACACGACGTCAGGTTCTTCCTGGGACCAAGCCCGAGTCCAAGCCCGTCCTCTCTCCAGCCTCCACCACCCACCGAGCCTGGGTCGGAGGGTTTCCTGTGCTCACGTTAGAGCCCGAGCAGCTGAAGGCGGTTCTCAACACCTCCCGGATGATCCCTCAGAAAGCAACACCCTTTCGGGGCAGGAGACATCCGAGGACAAAACACCACAGATGGGACCTGTTATTTCACTGGCGAACACATGCCATCACTGGGCAAGGATCTGGACTTGGCTCTTGGTATGGCATAATTCTGCAGGTGTTCTAACTGCATTTGGTTATTCATATTACATGTGTGTGTTACATGCCGTTAAGTCGGCTCCGACTCCTGGGGACCTGTGAATGGTGCCGTCCAATGTCCATCCTCACTGCCCTGCACAGCCTGCGGCTCTTGCGTGAGCCCCTCCACCTCCTGTTTGGGCTCCTCTTCTCCTGCTGCCTCTGTTCCCAGCATCGTTGTCTTTTCCAAAGCCCCGCCTCCTCACGAGGTGTCCGGGGTAGGACAGCGTCCGTGTGTCACCTGCCCCAGCCGTGCTCAGGCTGACTCGCCTTTCTCGCGCTCCAGGGCCTCCGCGGAGCCCTCCTCCAGCCCCAGGTTAAACGAACCAGCTTCCCCATCAGCCTCTCCACCATCTGACCTCCCACCTTGGTCTCGGCCTTGGTCGCTGTGGCCCGTCTGGGCTCCCGGTGACCTTTCCTGAGTGTCCCCGGCTGTCCTTCCGGCCTCGGCCCCTCCTGACTCGCTGGCTGCTGCCTGCACTCGCCCTGAGGACTGAGCCGAGGTCAGCGAGCGCCTCGTGTCTCCGTCGTCCGCGCTGAAGCTGTGCGTTCCTCCTGCCGTCGTGACTCCCGTCTTCCTGTTGGTCAGGCGTCCGGCTTGGCCACTTTCC